GAATGATTAGAAAATCTGTCTGCTATACGTGTAGCAGTAGAGTGTTCATTCACAGCTCTCTCTTACAACCTCATGCACATAGTGTGAGAGATATATATGTTATGCACAATAGCTGGATCTCTTACATCACAAGATGATCTTAGCCGTTCACTTAGGCAACCAATAGGAAACTTACACTTGTCATAAAAAGAAACAAAATGGAAAACTAATTAAACTAAGGCCCAGTTTGGGATTGCTGTCACTTTTTTAAAAGTTGCTTATGTTGTGCTTTGAAAATAATTAGCTGTAAAGTAAAGCAGCTCCATGTTTGGTAAACAGTATTTTTAAAGTGCTGTTAGTACGAAAAGCAGTGTCAAAACTGTTTGGTAAGTTTTAATATAAAATTGTTGTAACTGTGAATAATGACTCAAATAGACATGATGTTAAAGTGTTATGTACTAATCATGTGGTAGTAGTGGTAATGATGGAGTGGAGGTTGTGGTGGTGATGAAGGTGGAGTTGGTGGTTGTGGTAGTGGTGGTGGTAGGGATGTCGCTGTGGAGGTGGTGGTAGTGACAACATGGTGGTGGAGGTGGCAGCATGGTGGTGGATGAGGTGGTGGTGGTGGTGGCGGGTGGCGGTGGTTGTGGAGGTAGTGAATGTGATGGTGTAAGTGGTGGAGTTGGATGTGGAAGTGGAGGTGGTGTTATTTTTTAAAATGAATGATGGTATTTAGGAATTAAAAAAAATCATTAAAGGTTCATCTTTGCTTCTTTTGAAAGCAGCTTTGAAAATCAACCCATAGCCTGTTTTTAAAAGCTGCTGTCAAAAGGCCACTGCTTTTAAAATAATTGGGATATTTATTTTTACCAAACACCTTAAACTGCTTAACTTTAAAGTGAAGCAGGTTTTTGGCGAAAAAAAGCAATCCCAAACGGGGCCTAACTCTTGTCAGCTTAAGGCTTACAATTCAACACATATGCATTTCCCAAATAAACGGAGTGAGCCGATCATTGTCTTTATCCGTCAGCTGCCTTGAATATCAACAAGTCGAAACGAAGCTATGTTAAAAATTGATTGAAGGCCAAACTTTTTTTTTAGAGAGAGAGATATATATATATATATATATTATAATTTCCGCCTGGAAAGAATCCTAAGTTTGAACAATGACAACTCTCTTTTTGGGAGTTCTGCATGGCAACACTGACTGTTAATTAAGTGTTTATAATTCCACTAGGTTAGTTCTATGCCCAATATTCTATACCGTTATCGTATTTGTCTTATGTATGCGAGGATGCATGGGAATTATACTAGGTAAGATAAAAAAACTTTGGGTAATAAAAATTAAAATTCTATAAACTTTAAGGTAGTAAAGTGAAATCTAGCCTATTATGTATTATAACCAAGAGCGGAATTATTAATTTTTCGATGGGTGAGTTAGCTAAATTTTTAGCTTAAACTCTAATAATCTTTATGTTAAAATTAGAGTTTTAGCTTAAACTCAAACACAACAAGGCAGGCTTTTGGGCACACCAAACTCTAATGAAATGACAATCCCTTTGAAATGGAATGTCCTTTTGTTAATCTCTACCCCTTATGGCTATAGCGGTTAGGTTCACGTTTCAGAAAATAAAAATTGAAATGGGGGCCCCGCCGAGATCAGCGTGTAGGAGAGTAAAAGTTTTGTGGCACGCCATTTCAAAGGGATTGTCATTTCATAGATTCTTTCCTTTTCTTCAAAAAGCTATTTTGTGGCAAGATTTAGCTGTTTTGTCTCCTTCCGTTCCTTGCAGAAGATACACTCATCAATGTTTTCAAAGACGATGTATTTTATGTCACGCAAACTTGGAGATTGAACCTCAACGCGTTAGACGTGAATATTTCAAACGTTGAATTTATAATTAAAAATTATTACATAATTAAAATAATGTATTTTTTTACGTACTAAAATAAATTGTTTGGTGACCGTATGTATAAAGTTGTATAAATCTCCATTTTGTTGTTGGTTTTAGTGGTGTGTGTGTTGACATGTTGAGACTATTGACAACAGGAACCACCGCCTTCACTTCTGTTACAATTAAAAATTATACATAATTAAAATAATGTATTTTTTTACATACCAAAATAAATAGTTTGGTGACCATATGTGTGAAGTTGTATAATTCTCATTTTTGTTGTTAGTTCTTCTAGCTCTGTTCGTCCAAAAAGAAGAAGAAGCTCAAGAGATAAGAAAAAAGAAGCTCTCCTCTTCACATTTTGAATCTCCATTTTTTTTTTTTTTTTTTTTTTTTTTTTTTTTTTTTTTTTTTTTTTTTTTTTTTTTTTTTTTTTTTTTTTTTTTTTTTTTTTTTTTTTTTTTTTTTTTTTTTTTTTTTTTTTTTTTTTTTTTTTTTTTTTTTTTTTTTTTTTTTTTTTTTTTTTTTTTTTTTTTTTTTTTTTTTTTTTTTTTTTTTTTTTTTTTTTTTTTTTTTTTTTTTTTTTTTTTTTTTTTTTTTTTTTTTTTTTTTTTTTTTTTTTTTTTTTTTTTTTTTTTTTTTTTTTTTTTTTTTTTTTTTTTTTTTTTTTTTTTTTTTTTTTTTTTTTTTTTTTTTTTTTTTTTTTTTTTTTTTTTTTTTTTTTTTTTTTTTTTTTTTTTTTTTTTTTTTTTTTTTTTTTGAGGATGCTGCTGCCACTACTCATCCAAACAAGAGCAACTCTTTATTAGGAAATGGTGAGTCTTTATATACCCTACTGTTCTTAATTAGATCATGATCATGCTATTTTTACTTCCTTTGATCAATCGATCGTCATTCATATGCTTTCGGTTGATGCGCGTTACACTAATTAACTAGTATATATATTATATATAAATACCTCTCATCAGTGATGTGATGAGAGGTTCAAGGAAGTGTGCTGAGAGGTTCAAGGAAGTCGAAGTTTCCAAGGCTATTTCCAAACGGTCAGGAAGGTTTTCACCCCTAAAGAGAGAAGCACGAGGGAACAGTCCAGTCGAAGGTTCTCATCAGTGACGAGAGGTTCAAGGAAGTGTGATGAGAGGTTCAAGGAAGTGTGACGAGAGGTTCAAGGAAGTCGAAGTTTCCATGGCTATTTCCAAACGGTCAGGAAGGTGATGAGAGGTTCAAGGAAGTGTGACAGTCTGTCTCTCTTAGGCCGTGTGACAGTCTGTCTTCCTTTGTTAAGCAGTCCCGAAGGCGGCCTCTTTGTAGGGCGAATAGGCTTAGTCGTCTTGTTACAGCAACCCCCCCTCTCCATCTTCTCACCTCCTTTACAAAAAAAATCTCATAATTTTAAGTTTTTGTTAATTTTTTCTCTTGCATGGGTTTATTACACATGCAAAGATATATAATTCAGCAGTTTGATACAAGGTATATGCATTGCGTTTAAAAATGAAGACGGCGCCAGGATCAAATCGGAATCTGGCCGCTTCGCCGGATCAGAGCTTACTCCGGCGACCTCGCCGGTGGCGGCGCAGGTAATGGGTCGCCATTAACTAGTTGGTTTTGTTGTTAGGTCGCACACTTCAGCAGCCTCACCTGATAGTACGGAGCAGCGGACGAGGCAGCCATGAGATGATCAAGTTTTCTTTTAATTTTTCACTTCAGAATTTAAAAATATGACGTGGGACGATAATAAAACACAAGTAATTAATAGTAATTAAGGGGACAATTTCGTAAAAAGGAAGGGTCGACCTGTCTCACGTTGACCGCACCCTCTCTAGAGATCTTGCTTTTGTTTGATTATCCCTAACCACCGTATTTCAGCATTTTCTTCTCCGGTGAGAGGTGATGGCTGCTGCTCTACTCTGCTGTTGGTGGTGACAGAGAGTTCAATGTCAATGGATTTGAAAAGTTTACAAAATTCACAGAGTTCGCTAAAGTTGGACTTTCTTATCTTGTTGTCGCCATTATCGGCCCACAAAGTAGTGGTATGCATTCTTACTTACCTTTTAATCTTCATTTCTGACTTGGTTGAGGATTCACAAAAATATCACTCTGGTGTATAAGATGAAGCAAAGTTTTTGAAATTCTGCTACTGTTTTGAAGCTTAATCAGATGGAGCAGGGTTTACAAATTACGATATGTTTTTGGTCATTCTCTGTTTTCTCATCTGATATTGATATATGACAGTGTCTTTTTAATACTAATTATCTGTCCAGGAAAGAGCACACTACTAAACCATTTATTTCACACCAACTTTAAAGAAATGGACGCCGTTAAAGGAAGGCAAGTTCTCTCATAATGCTCAAAATGACAACTTAGTTGTGTTATGTTTCTCTCTTAGTGACCATGAATATGATGGGATATGCTTTTATTCCAGGTCTCAAACAACAAAAGGTATTTGGGTGGCAAAATGTCCCATCATTGACCCTTTTACTCTTGTTATGGACATGGAGGGTACAGACGGGAAAGAACGAGGAGAGGTGCTCTTAGTTTTCATAATCAAATTTCAATTTATGGTCATGCTTGAATTTATTGTCATTACCAATTCTCTGGCCAACACACGAATCCATTGCTGGATGATCACTTTTTATTTCTTTGACTACTGCTCTTACTTGTAGCTTACAGATGATAGACATTTTGCTCTTACTTAATCAAGAACAGAAATGAGAAATGGAATCCGGATTTATTGATTGTTTCCAAGTTTTAAAAACAAAAAATGCACAACTCTATCACGATTGCTTGTCATGGTTGCAATCTACTTAATCGGAATTTGGTTATTATTTACAGGATACAGCATTCGAGAAGCAGACTACTCTTTTTGCCCTCGCTGTGGCAGATGTAGTGCTCATTAACATGTGGGTTTTTCTTTTTCCCCTTCTTTATTGACTGTTTGGATTTGTAATATTTTCCCCTCTCTGTGAGTAATCTTCTTTAGCAATTTTTGTGTAGATGGTGCCATGACATTGGCCGTGAGCACGCTTCAAATAAGCCTCTACTACACACTGTGTTCCAGGTATTTCTTCCTCCCTACAAATATCAGAGGCTTGATTTCTTGAACTTTATGCTTGAATTTGTTCATAGGTGATGATGCGATTGTTTGGGCCTCATAAGACAACCCTGATCTTTGTCATCCGTGATAAGACAAAGGTTCCTTCTTCTCATTTAGTAATTCTCTGTGATTTGAGATGGAACCAATTTGTATTTGTCTTTGTTATTCATTTTGGTAGTCTGTTGCATCGTTTCCTTCCTTGGTATAAGGCCATTCCACTCTAGGCTGAGTTTTTGATAGTGTAATTATGCTTTTTTTGTTTGTAGACGCCACTGGAGAAGTTAGAAAGCGAACTTCGGAACGACATTCAGAAGGTTAACTAATTTGGTGCTTTATTTGTTGCTGCCTTACTTTTAGTGTTGTTGTTTGGTAACCCTGTCTCTCCTTTACTGCAGATATGGGAGTCTGCTCATAAGCCTGAAGCCCACAAGGAAACTCCACTGAGTGAATTTTTCAATGTAAGATGTCATGCTTATATGACAGATAAGATTTCATGTTTATTTGATATTACTGTGGTGAAAACTATCAATCATGTGTATTGATTGACAATGTGTTATATTTATGACTAAATGGCTAGGTTGAGGTTGTTGCGCTTTCAAATTATGAAGACAAAGAAGACACATTTAAAGCGGAGGTATGCATATGTGCTATGAGGGCACCATGCAGATTTTCTTTCTTTTCTTTGGGCCTTGGACACCATGTCAAATTGAATATCTCATCTTTTTTGTTCATGGAATACGAATAAATTATCTTGATACGTAAAAAGGACCATACAAGATTTTCTTAAAAGAAAACGAAGAAAATGTGTTGCAGGTTTTCTCAAATGTTGCTGCATATTTTATTTCATTAACACTTCGTCGACTACCTTAAAAAATGTTTCTGTTCTCTGTCATTTGCCCCTTGCCATCTCGTCTCTCATCTTTTGTTGCATTCCAGTTTCTGCCTCAAGAAACCAATTGTCCCATTTCTATTTTTTATACTAAAATGCCTCCTAGTGTTCAAATTTATGCATCTTGTGCAGGTTTGCCCTTTTTTGTGGGTCAAATTTATGTAACTTATGTTTTTGAATGAAAGGTTGCTTGCATGAGGCAGAAATTCTTCCATCATAATAAACTTGCTGGAGATCGACAGGCGGTAGTTCCCGCTTCAGGATTTTCTTTGAGTTTACGGAAATTTGGGAAAAAATAAAAAAAGACAGAGATCTTGATATTCCTTCCATCAAGGTAAAACTGTGAATACAATGTTTTTTGGTCGAAAACTGTGAATACATATATGTATGTAAATTTGAACAAGTCATCCATAACTCCTCCATTGCAGGTCATGGTGGCTACTGTACGTTGTGAAGAGATTGCCAATGAGAAGTATTCTGCTTTTGCAGCAAATGAGGTACCTGTTTTTCATATGTTGCCATATTTTCCATCTTCTTCAATTCTAGTTGGATGGCCTTGAATTGCTTTGGAATTATCACAGGAGTGGATTCAGTTGAAAGTGATCTCAGTTCATCCTGGTGGCTTTGGAAAGAAGCTGAGTTCAATGATTGATACTTGTATATTGGAGTACGTATCTTTCACTTATATTTCTCAGCTTGTTGTAGGCTACAGGATAAGATTATATTTCTCACCTTTTGCCTTATGTGGTTGAATAGTTCTTTATATTTAGTTTAATTCGTTTTTACAAGTCTAGGTATGATAAAGAGGCTACACATTATGATGAAGGTGCCAAATCCGTGAAGCGCAAGCAGCTTGAAGAAAAAATGCTGAAAGTAATGAATCTCGACGTCATTCTTGTCGAACCATATATTACACATTATTCTCCTTGCCCCCCCTCTTTCCTCGTGCTATAGATGGCTGAAATATAGCAATGCAACCGAGACTTAACGGTTTTGGACTTACAGAAAATTTTGCCTCAAAGACCAAATTGTGTTTGTTATTCCGTTGATTGTGGTTGATACAATTTCTGTCATGACTCATCCTCTAATCTGCCATGCATATCGATCAGGGATGTACACAGTTTACAGTGAGGCGGCCTTTCAAGGCCTTCCGAGTGCATCACAGTAGTTGAACTGATTTGACATAAATTATCCTCTCTTTTTAAGCTTCCAATTTTAATTATCAATTCGATTTACATATCTTTCTTCTATTATGATTCGCTGTCTTATTAGCTTGTTCAACCTGCATTCGAAGATCAGCTGGAACTTAAAAGATCTTCTACTCTGGATAAGTTCAAGGAAGCATTTGATAAGTCCTTGGACGGGGTCATCAAGGGATTTTCTGTGACTGCTCGTAATTTCACCAAGTCTTTTATGGCTCAATTTGATGAAGACTGTGCAGGTATGTTTTGAGAATGGCATTCCTTTAGCCAAAATTGGAAACTCAAGGATAAAATGCAAAAACTGAAATGCATAATAAAAGAAACACTTCAAAACCATGAAGCCAAGATAGATAAGTCACAAGACAAATTGAACTTTATCCTTGTAAACTCAACACATCTTACGCACAAGCTGACTTCCTGCCAATTAGTCAATTATGGATCAAGAGATAATAGTGTAATACTTAATATGTTATAAAACCAAATACAATAACCCTGTTCATCCATAGAAAGATTCCTCATCTTTGGATAGTAGAAAAATTCCTGTTAGTCTGTATGCTCCATCTCCCATGTTGTGCTACTTGCATGATGAATTACTCACATCTTGGACAGAAAGTTATTCATCATGTATTTGCTTGTAGCACAAGTTTTATCTTGAATCTTTGAGTGCATAGATCTTGCAATGTATTGAGTTGGTTTGGCTCACTTAATAATACACTGCGAGATGTTTGCAAACAACGATCATGGATCTTTCTTGCCACGACAAAATAATAGCTTCATACTGTTGCCGTGCCAAAATTTTCCTGCAAACATTATCAAGCTTTCAGTTTTACAAGCTTTTAACTTTTGCTCCAACGAAAACCTGGTTAGGTAGGAATACCACATGTAATACTTAATGAGTTATAAAACCAAACACACTAACCTTGTTCAGCCATAGAGTCAAATAGAGTGCACGAGAGAAATAGAGAGATCTTCTCCTAGAAGCCGATGCCTTACACTCTGTATAAGCTTGTATAAGCTAGAATATCACCTCAGTGAGTTTAAGACATTAAACAATCTCACAAATAGGCCTTTTGAATTGGTGTCATTAATATACGTTTTACTACTTGCTCTGTATATTACAATGAGATAACACATTATTTATGCAGATGTTGTTATCAAACAAGCAAACTGGGACACATCTAAAGTAAGGGATAAACTTAGACGTGATATAGAAGCCCATGTTGCTTCAGTTCATGCTGACAAGATAAAGGACCATTGTGAGGTATAATAGCATATTTTTGTTCATTCTCTCTTCTGAAATAGTTGGGGTTTCTGGTTTTCATCAACCCGAGCCAGAATTCGACTCCAAAAGAAAGTAAAAGTTGAGCTACTACTGTGATAAGTTAATTTTGTTAAGGACATTGATTGCTTTCGTTGTAACAGATTCCATGTAGTGTCTATTGTTGACAAAGTTGTCATAGGAACTTGGTTGATGATATGTAACTATAAAATGCAGGCGAAGTTGAGGGAGCTGTTATCAGGACCGGTGGAAGTCCTTTTGAAGCAAGCTGATAATACGACCTGGCCCACAATAAGAATACTTCTTCAAGAGGCTAAATCAGCTTTCTCTGGGAGCGCTGCTGCAATTTCTGGTTTTGACATGGATGAACAAACCAAAGCCAAAATAGATGCAAGTCTAGAGAAATATGTAAGACGTATGGTTGAAGATAAAGCAAAGGAAGAGGCTGGAAGGGTCCTCATGCACATGAAGGAGAGGTAGAGAATTCTCTCTCTCACAATGGTTTGAACGTTATTTAAGATTTTATTGTATGCAATTGATATTTGAATTGCCTTTACAGGTTTAAAACAAAATTTAGTGACGATTCTAATTCAATCCCAACGTGTTTGGAACCGGCGGGAAAATATTGGAGCGATTGCCAGAACTGCTCATTTTCAGTATGGCTCAATTTTTATTATGTGTAATTACATATATTGACAGTTCTTGAGAGTTTGAATTTAAACTGAAACTTTGTTAACTATATATATTCATATTCTGTAATTTTTTCAGTCCCTAGAAGTGCTTTCTGTTATGGCTGTGATCCGTTTGGATGGTGATGATGATGGCGATAAAGTTCAGGCTACTTTAACAGTGCCTTGCTGGATAAAGATACGAGTACCACAACATATGACCCACTGGCTTCAAATACTTGGGAAGAGGTGACCCTTTCTTTTGTCCTTTTTCTTTTTTTTGGCTTAATTTATAGATAGATCTCTCAACAACACAAAAAAAAAACGTAGATACTGATATTTATTTATTAATATGTTCAATTTTATCCAATTTTATTATTATTTTATTATTTATACAAATAATATTCTACTTTAATCTAAATTATGGGGAGACGGTTTCGAACTTGGGTGCAACGTGAAGAACACATCCGCTCTAACCAACTTGGCTAAGCCCTATATGCATATCCAATCTTAATTTATTAATATTCAAAGATATTGCATACTAGATTAAGAAGAAAAATGTTTACAAATAGATTGAGAGGGCTGGAGCAGGCCGGGCCGCATTGGGCTTGAGTTTAAACACTTGACCTAATCCTTACTCCCACGCAAGGCCAGCTCTGCCCATGGCTATAATATAGGCCGAAACGGACTTTGACCCATTGAATTTGGGCCGGCCCTCAAGCTAGCTCTCTCTCTCTCTCTCTCTCGCGTAAGACCATATAAGGTTTTCTGACTTTCCCCTTCCTATACAGGTTCCACCATCAAAAACATTGATCATACCTCTTAAATGCAAAGAGTTGTGGGAGGAATTCAAGGAAAACACCAAGCACATTGTTTCGAAGGCCATAGAACTGGTATGATATCTCACCTATTAATAAATGGAAGCTATATGTGAACTATAAATAGTTTTGTTTTGTCTCCCATAATGTGTTATTTGATCACCTGCTGTTATGGAACTATGGTTAGAGTCTGTTTCAGGTTTTCTTTAGGTTTAGATGAACTTACTCATGAATGATGCGTTTCATCAGCTTAAAAATCTCTCTGAATTTAACTTACTCACACTCATACCTAGTCCATTAATTCAACATGCTGTTTTACTTTTCAGGAGGCCAACGCGCGTTTTCAACTACCTCCTTGGGCAACTTGCTGTTTGATTGTTGTGGGATGGAATGCCATTACGAGACTAATGAGGTACACACTAGTTCCCTACACTACACACGAGGATAGGATGATGTTCTTTCTACCATATATATGTAATTTTATATATCCAGTACTAGTACCTCTACCATGTTCAAATTTATTCCTCCATGGATGCAGAAATCCTTTGTGTCTGGGTGTGGGTGTCATCCTTGTTGCTTTTTTACTCGTCAAGCCCCATATGGTGCAGATTGCCACATGGGTTCTGTGAGTGTCACATTTTGTTTTAATGATTGTCTTTCACTCTCCCTTCTCCTTCCCACCTACCATACGTATAGACACTGGTACTCCTTGTATAGCATGCTTTTTCGCCTCCACTGCTAGTGATTTTAACACTCCTTGTTTCACCTCCTGCACTGT